ACCACTGTAGAAATAAAAGTTCACACTGATTAACGCTGAATGTAAAGTTACAACTAACAAATTAAAGTAGAACACATGCTCACACACAACATGGGCCTTATAGATTTATAACTGATTGTCTTGACAATATTGTATGTGTGTGTATGTGTGTGTGTTCTGCAGGATTCAACGTGACAAGGACTTTGCCACAAAGAAGGCTGAGAGGGCAAATCTCAGAATCGCACTCAGAGATAAATACCTTCTACCAGATGTAAGAAAAATATTACAGTACTCACAACCCGTCTGTTTATTTGTCTGAATATGTTGCAAGTATACAGCTTAATGCTAATTTCACTGCATATGTTGATTCATTACTGACATACTAATTGGATCAACATTCCAACATTCTTTCCATTTATTAAGTTTACAAGTTTTGATCACCAAATTGTGGTGAGGAATGACTCAGGATCATATTTATTTTCACACAATGATATAATTAACTGATTATTTTGGCAGTACATTATAAGGGTTATGAAAAAATTAGTTTAATGTGTTTTCATTTTCATTAAAAAGCACACATCTCTGCACCTTTTAATTATATTATTCTGACACGTCACAAAATTTCCTTCCATCAGTCTGTTTTAGTTTTAGTCAACACATACAAAAACAGGAATTTACATAAGAATAAATGTGTGTGTTTGGGATTGAAGAAATGCCAAGCACACGCAGCTTCATAGAAAGGCCTCAAAGCAGCAGCGAGTTTAATGCTTCTTGTTGCAACGAAGGTTATAATATATCTTTTGCCAAGCCCTGCTTGTTAATAAACATTTTAAATGAAGCGATCATTAAAATAATCTCAGTTTAATGGACTTCTCCTTTGCCCACAATCTGTTTAATGAACAGAAACAATACATGACACATTCAGTGACATTTTCTAAATAATTCCCTAAGCTCTATATGTACCAGTACCTCCCTCAGTAAAATCATGATTTAACATTGTACAAAATAACTGGACTACAGCCAGTGTTGATTCATTAGTTGCTGATGTAGGATTCACACTATTGTTTTCCTGTTTTTTTCCCATGTTTTTGCAACCTACTTCTGCATATTTTGTACCATCTTAACCAATCTTATTTAAAAACATTCTGCCTGGTCAGGAATAGTGTGTTATGACTTTTAGCATTTCTAATTTTTAGACTTTATTGATTATTAATGATAAGCTTTATTTACTTAAATAGTTCCTATATAAATACATTCAAATCTCTTGAATTGTTTATAAATATTGTTCACAGAAATCTGCTTTAAAGTATGGTAGTTACTTTGTTCTTGCCTTATTATCATTTTAGCTTATAGCTTCTATATTGCTCATTTGAAATTTTAGATATCATTTAGCTAATTTTAGCATTTAGTTACTGCATTGCTAATTACAGCTTTTAGCTAAGGTTTCCCTCATTTTAGCTTTAAGCTATGGTGACGCTAATTTTAGCTTTTACATTCTGCTTTATCGTTGGAGTTCATTCTTCTAATTCTGAATGCTGCAGATTTATGATTTCTCTCTTGCGGGCCAAGATGGGGTAGATGCAGGGCAGCCGACTCAGAACCCGAAAGCCCCAGGCTCAATCCCCAGTCATTGCACATCTCGTGGTTTCTCTGAGCAGCACAACAGCCACCCACTGCACCACCCGGCAGTGGATGGGTCAAATGCAGAGAGCCAATTTCGCCATTATATTGGAACATATGACAATACATAACACAGTATTATTATTATTTATTTTCTGATAGAGTGCTCAAGATTCTGCAATCTCTCAGATGGCTGGTGACGACATAGACCTGCCTGAGGAACTGGCTAAAATGGTGGATGAAGATGAGGAAGAAGAGGAGAGCAACGACTCGTTCATGAATAAGCTTCAAAATGTGGATTTGGATGCACTGAAAACCAAGGCCCAGAGCGCAATGACCGAGATAAAGCAGACTGCAGAGGAAAAATGTACCGTCATGTGATGTATTAATATACGTTGTAAATGGTTTGAACCCAGGCCTTCAGAGATAAATAATGTATAGACTGGTATTGTTGTGTTTTAAATTTGCTGAACTATCACGCTTTTACTTACTCTTTTTATTTGTCTCATAAAACCATTTTGGCTTCTTTACCGCATAGTTTTCCTTTTTATTTTCTGAGGTTTCTTTTGCTGTATATATTGCATTATTTCTCTGTCCTTATTGTAATAAAGAACAAAAAACAAAAGTTAAAAGTTTTATAACTACTCATTTGCTCCACCTTGTACAATCTACATACTGTAATGAAGGAAATAATTAAAACATGGGGATCTCAAAGAACTCTGTCTGTTTTAAGGAACTGAAACATTAAATATTAAAGCTTTAAAAAGCTAAAATTTTATTATTTTATTAATGTAATTTAATTTGTTGAACAAATAATCTGGTGATTAATAGTTGAATAACTACTACACACTTTGCAAGTACAGAAAAAACTGTTCTCTCTCCCAGAGCTGTGAGAAGGGAATGATGTCAGTTTTTAATTGCAGCCCAGGTTTTTGAGTTCTTGCAGCTTGTTCTCGACACATTATCTCAGCAGAACATTTCTCCTTGTAAGGTGTTCAAGAAAAATATGAAAAGGTGGAAATGTTGATATTACTGCTGGCTAGAAAGTTTGAACAAGGAGTTCTGCACTTTAGTTTCATATATCTAGAACAAATTGTGTTCTTGTTCTTGCCACCTCAAGCAAAAGAACAGTTTCTTCAGTTCTTGCTTGGGTCAGCAACAAGCTTCAGATCACCACTTTAGAAATCACTAGTCTATCCATTTAATGCCTAAATATATGGACAAAAGAATAAGATTAGACTCAAAAAATTCTACATAATTCCTGTTTAATCATGTTACGTTTCTTTAAAAAGTGTTATAATCTGCTACAGCATGAGGCAAATCTCATTTGTTCACACAATATTTACTTTGTACAAAACACATTGGGTTTTCTAACATTCTGGCTAAAATAAACTTAAAAAAATCATACATGGGTATTGAACATATCACCTCAGAGAGAGTAACAAAAAAAATCCCATTTCAGATTGAACTGACCATGTGACCTGTCAGCATTTAGTTGACCCCTTTCCGTCATGTCCCTGTCCTCCCCGTGCAGCTGACCATCCCCCTTTCCCCCTGTAAGCTGACACAGCGCCTTTAAACATTAGCTGCTTTCGTCCTAATAGGATCCTAAGGATTTACATTGTCATCTGATAAAACTAAGGCGCTTGATAGCTGTGCTGCACCTCTTAACCAATTTGTACCCAATTAGGATAATGGGAAAACAAGCAAAGAGGGACAGCTTTAATATATTAATGTGATAAAATGATTATCAGTTTCTCTTGTCTATGACTTGGGTGCTATTAGGAGCATGTCATAAGGCTAATATCAATAGTAAGTAAAAAATAAAAATAAAGGGGGGGGGGGGGGCATAAAAAAAATCTACATCAGAAACTTTAATTAGATCTGAGTCTGGATTAGACGATATGTACAAACAGCAATTCAGAAAGCAGACATCCAAAAACAAATGTAAGAAAATAGATTTTGGTTTTATTTAATGCCATCTCAGTAAATAAAAACAATAAAATCTGAAATGGCACCAGTCGTTAGAAAGAGCAACCGGTGATGATGGTATTTTTGCTAACTTAAACCAGCTCAAACAAACTGAACCTGACCCCCTTTTCAGACCATGTGAAGGGAAACAATCCAAAACATCAGACGCCTGACTTTCTTCGTGGTCACCATATGGCAGCAACCTGCTCTGTGGCAAATCCTCTGCTCTGTGGGCATCTTTAAGTTCTTTATTTCATTCGAAGGTAAAAGTAATGGGCTTTTCAAACCCGTTCTGGGAAAACAAAATTAACAACCAAGAAAATGTGGTCAGGCCAAAGCCACTTAACCCACAGCCCGTCTGCTCATCAGTGGCATGTCTTTAAGTTGTTAACATTTAAAACACAGCTCAGTCCAGCTGCTTAAAGTGTGACTCTGAGACAGACATGTTGTTAGTTCATGCCAGGACACGTGAAAACACCAGAACTATCATTAAACTAAATGGTTTGGACAATGCAGAACTTGCACTAACTGCGTGATATAAAAATAACACATGCATGCAAAATAGCAACAAAAAATTATTAGATTGTTGTCAAATAAAAATTTACCCACAAAAATATCAAAACACAATAATTATAATTATTAGAATAACTAGAATTAAATCAGTGGGTCCCAACTCTGATCCTTGAGGAACTCCATCCTGCATGTTTGAGTTGTTTCTCTGCTTTGACACACCTGATTTGAATGAACGGGTGATTAACAGGCTTCTGCAGAACTTAAGGAAGTAATTAAATCACTGAATCAGCTGTGTTTGAGCAGGAAACAACTGAAACATGCAGAATGGTGTTCCTCAGGGACCAGGGTTGGGAACCACTGCAAATAACCCTGAGCTACTTCTGTATAGAATTTTAGCACAATATCAATACAGTTTATAATGAAATCATACAAGTTGCTCCCTGAGAAAGGGAGCAGACAATTTTTTTTTACTATAATATAGCCATTTTTATATTTTAATAACAGGCATGCAGGGTTGACTCAGTAATGGTAACATTTTAAACAAAGATAACTCAAAATATGTGGTCACTCTCAGCTACTACCTCACTTTATGCAGATAATAATAATCAAAAGTGCAAAAACTATTTTAATAGACCAGTTCATATCATGTAAGAAAATGAATGTAAGCAATATATTATAAAAACAAAGAAAATAAAATTCTTGAATTTTCCATGTTGGCTTTTGTGTTTGACATGCAACGAGCTCCTAAATATATCTTCAGGCAGGGGGAGTGAGGTCAGAGGAAATCTCCAGTGAAGTCTTTAGGCTCATTAAGGATGGGCTTGATCTCTACACCTACTATAGCGGCAGCTTTGGTTTGTGCCAGCTGGCAACGGAGAAACTTACAGGCTGTAGGATAAAACCCCCCTCCCCCTCATGGCCCCCTCCTAATTTCATCACAAACTATTAGTTTTTCCAACTCTGTTGCTCACATTTGACACAACATGGATCCAATTTAATTTTTGAAGTGGTAGAAGTGGTGTGCATCATGCTGAACAAATGTCTAATTTACTAACCGGTACGAAAAATTACGTTTGTGGCGTATTTTGTTTTAGGCATGAAATAATTAATGCACTTGTTCAATTAAAAATAATTAAGCATTTCTTAAATTTTTTTTCTAAAAGTGTAAATAAATGACTTTTTTTTTATTTATTTAATTTTAGTGTTTCCAAAACAATCAGAAATGTTACACGCACTCGTAGTGTAAAACTATTTATAAACTTTTTACTGTGTATTCATCCATTTTTGGTCCACCTCTGTGCCTTTCCCCCCCCCCCAAAGCATTGTCTATAATGAAGGGATTAACAAAAACGCTCAATTCGACCTATTATCTTTCAGACAATAGATTTTTTGAAAGAAAGTTTTGTTGAAGCTTCATTAGCAAAGGTCTCCCTCTGTGGTCTGAAAAGCAGGACACATTTGGAGCAATTACTTGACCAGAAAACAACTGTCAGTCATTCTTAAGGGGGAAGGATTCCAATTAATAAACCTCTTAAACCCTTTGGTTTTACTACCATTCCCCCCCCCAGCAGCTCTGGTGTCTCGTGTGGTTAAGGAGAGTTTTGTCAGGAGAGTAAGACAATACGAGTCGTTGCACAGATCTCCAGCATTAGGTCCTTTGCTCAGTTGTTTGCAGGGGATTTCAAGGACTTAACGAGGAGTAACAAGTGCCTACAGTAGACATTGTTAGTGTCATTTGTCTACTTATGGACTACAAAGACGGTGTGTGAAGCGTACCCTGTACCTAGAAACCCAATAAAGGTAAGAATATTTTAAGTTCTTTATTATGCAAAATTGGGAGATGTCTTAAAGTATGATGTTCACAGGGTTTCCAGTAAGAAATGTATCAAGTTAAATACTTTCGATGCTCAAATGGTGCATTTTTAAACTGGATCAGCTTAAGTGAAAGTTTGAAACATGGAGAAGTTTTAAAATGTACTCGGTACGCAAAACATTTTCTTCATAGCAATATTAATTAAAAAAAAGGGAAACGACCACAATAAATACCACTTCTCATTAAAATGAAGATGTAGGAATTTTTGTTAAACCTCATTGTCGCCTTGTGTTCTCGGACATAACAGTCTTTAAAAAATACTTTAAAGGCCAACAAACTTTGAATGTCATTTTGTTTTTTGGGGTTTTTTTTCAGACAAAGATGCAAGTTAGGTCTGCTTGTGTGGAAACATTTAATTCAACTTCACTGAAGTGATCCAGATCTGTCCCAGCTGCTTTGAATATTACTACGACTGCCTTGCCTCAAGTTGTAGCCATTTTTTTTTTTTTTTGGCAAGCCATAGAGAAAGTGTTTCCAAAGGCTCGGATGCATTTGTCAATGGATACCCTTGGAATAGTGGACGATACTGGTCATGGGATAGTAGACAACTATGACATGGCGAAAGGTCCGGGGTCGAGCAGCGGAGGCAGGGTCCACAGCATTGATGTCATACTGGGATTCACTAAAGACCAGGAACCTTTACTCCATTCATTAGAACGAGGCGACAGCCCAAAAGGCAACGGAGTGAATCCACAGGATCCTGAAAAGCAGGTCCACTCAGACCCCTATGGGCACCTTTCAGAACTTGGCGACAGCATCCAGCATCCTTCCTACCATGGTGAGTCCTTTCAGAACTGCACAAAAAGGGCATTTAATTTAAATTGTGTTCATAATGTGTCCAGTAGATTTTAGCTTTAAGTCATGACATTTTTTGTTTATGTTGTCAATAAAGAAGGGTCAGTGATGTGTCTGTGAATCTGGCCGTCCAAAACAGTGAAATAGTGGTACTGGGGGGAGATAATTGAGTCTTTAATTTAAATAACTTTACTTCCCAACTAAAACAAAACAAAAAAAAAGAGTCATCCTTTAGAAAAAAAATTACTTCCTACTATGTTTGGACTCTTACTGTCCATTTAAAAATTTTTTAAAAAAAGTCCACCAAAAGAAGATGGACAGTAATGTTAGCAAAATGTCCTAAGTGTTCAAAACAATATTGTTTTTCTTCATGGGTGTCCAAACTGATTAAATTTAATTGTACATTAAAGATCCCTGAGTGGTAAGGTGGTGCAGATGGTAGAGCTGCCGCCTGTCAGCAAGAAGGTTGCTGGATCAAATCCCAGCTGAGGAACTTTCTGTGTGGAGTTTGTATGTTCTCTCCGTGCATGCGTGGGTTTTCTCCGGGTATTCTGGTTTCCTTCCACAAACCAAAAACATGCATGTTAGGCTGATTGGTAACTCTAAATTGTCCCTAGGCGTGAGTAAGAGTATGAATGGTTGTTTGTCTCTGTTTGTCCCTGTGATGCACTGGAGAACTGTCCAGTGTCCCCCACCTCTCACACAGTGGCGGTTGGACCTGGGCACCAGTAACCCCCGTGACCCAAAAAGGAAAAAGCGGGTAATGATAATGGATGGATGGATGGATGGATGGATGGATGGATGGATGGATGGATGGATGGATGGATGGATGGATGGATGGATGGATGGATGGATGGATGGATGGATGGATGGATGGCTGGATGGCTGGCTGGCTGGCTGGCTGGCTGGCTGGCTGGATGGATGATGGATGGATGGATTAAAGATCCCTTTACATTTATCTATAATTTATATAAGCACACGTGACAAATCCATCATCATAATAAATTATTTCTTGTTTAAAAGTTTTGTCATGTCCCTGCATATCCAACACAACATGCCATGTTTTGTGCATTATTTCATTTGACACAATCTTTGTCTTCTGAACTGTGAAACATAGATGTCACTACTGATGCAACAAACGGCATCTTTGCATGTTTAGTCTTGGGGTCAGTCTTTAATGGCACACCTAAATGGATAAAAGACAAGAGTATTATGATTTTTTTTTTGCAACTATATACCTCTTGGCTAGTTTGTCATTGAAATAATTATTTTAGAATTATTATTATTATTTTTTTTAATCTTAGGTCATTTTAGGAAATTGAACAAATGCCAAAAAATGCCCAGTTGCATTAGAGTAATGCTTGTTAATGCATCCTTTGCAGGACTGTTGCTGCTCTTTATAACTAATGATTAATTAATGATGAACTAATGATGAACTAATGATTAACTGGTTATTAACTAGTCATTAAAAAGATTGTTTCTAACATTAATTCTCTTTCATCCAGTTAGGTGTTCAAAAATTGTATGCTATACATTTATTGTGATTAAACTGAATGAATGGATGAATGACTGTAAGAATGAATGAATAAAATAATTTTTTTGATATAAAATATATATATTTTTTAATGTAATTATTCTTAATGCAAAAAACTAAAAACAGAATCAAGATATCTCCTGCTGTGCTTTATTAAAATGTATTTAATAATAATTTAAATATGAACTTGATTTATTTGTATCCAGACGACTGTTTGCTAAAATCATTTAGGGACATCTTAAATGTCTGCTGGTATTTTTTACATAACTTTTCACAATTTCAACCTTCAACCAAACAGAACAGTGTTGTGAGCAGTCATACAGTATAAATAAAATTATTGTACCTCATAATGCCTCTCAGCGGCAACATGCACATCTATCTGAAGAATACAATTATTTATTAAAGCAACATGTGAAAAAGCTTAATGTCAATACAAAGTTATTATAAGAAGCTGTCATTTCACTTAACATCTGTTTGTGCTTTAAACATTCAGGATTATCTGCATGAGATCAATTTTTATGACCAACGATCTGCAAACCAGCCTGCCTAAAGATGTTTAATGTGAATAATAAGCATCTCTCACATGGTCCATTTTCTTCCAGTCCATTGTTTTCAAACAGTCTGTATCCTGACTGTTGATTTAGTTTGTGCACACTTTACTGAAAGTTTCTTTTTAGACAAAGGATTCTGAAACCTGCAAATATCTGTGGGATTACTGCAAGAACATAAATGATTGACAGCTGGACTGGAGCAAATTTCTTGAGTTTACAAACCATTGAAGGTACAACAGGAGCTTTATTGTGATTTAGTTGGGTTTTTTATCAGAGAGATTAAATAAAAACCTAACTTTAAAGGAAATATACATGATTTATTTTTAATTAGCTGTTTATAAGCTTTGATTTTAATCTGAAAACATGGTTTTGCTCAAATCATATTTTCAAGTGCATTTTTTATAACATAAAGCAACAAATGACTTAAATGTTCATTGGAAAGGAGTTTATTTAGAAATGAAAAGTTTACATTTAGAATTGAAACAACTGCTTCTGAAAAAAATGAAACAAACTTTTCAGAAAAGCAGCAGAATGCAGGATGACAGGGACTGTATGGTTGCTTTAAACTATTCCTTCATGTTTTGTATTTCAACTTTTATTCTTTAATATTATTATTTTACTGTCAGCTCACAAAAATACATCTCAAGGCACCTTACAGAAGAGGCATTAGCCTAAATTTAAATTCTCCAATTTAAAAATGAACGCAGTTAAAACAATACAACCATTTCTGTCAAAATGAAACTTTTTTGTTCCCAAAAAGGCAGACTTTAAATTCCAAATTTCCAATGACCAAATGACATTAACTTAAATAAATAAAAATGTAACAATTAGCCTAAAGTGGTGAAGGTCAGGACAGAATAAATGTCTCTGTTGATTATGAATGTGAGGTGAAGCGGCTCTGCCAGCATCCTAAATTGGTATTTTGTCTTTACTAAACTAATTAATATTCATCAAGAAGTTACTGTTTACTATGAATCATAAAGGCTGCCTAATGAGGTGATAGTCGTTGACTGTTTCTAATCATTTGGGTGCTACATTATATAATTTTGTCACGAAAATAAATTATTTTATTATTTTTTTTCTCTCATAGTCATGTATAAAGATGTAGCTGAAGATAATATGTGTGGAATAAAAACAAGTGACTAAAAGTTATTTGGTATAATATTTAAAGAAGCAGAGCTCAAAACCACTAAATTTAGTTAATTTATTCTGTCTTTCATTTCAGAAGCTGATCTTTTCTCCAGTGACAAGTGTGATGGTGACATGGACAACCTGCACAAGGAGGTGGACGCTGCCGAGGGGTCCCCTGAGACAACGAAAGAGGAAGAGCACGCTAAAAAGAAACACCGAAGAAATCGGACCACCTTCACCACCTATCAGCTGCACGAGCTGGAGCGAGCCTTCGAGAAGTCCCACTACCCGGACGTCTACAGTCGTGAGGAACTGGCCATGAAGGTCAACCTGCCTGAGGTTCGAGTTCAGGTAAAGATGCAAACGGGTGCCTCCTGAAAGTTTCATACCCTGTTGTCATATATATATATTTTTTTTAAATCTGTATGCCTTTTTACGACTGTTGTTGTCGCTGTTGTCCATTGTTGTCATCATTCTTTGTTGAAATCAGGTCTCTC